GAATGAACTACCACGGTGCTTCACAGTGTCGTGGTAGTGCATTGAGGACTACAAGCTGACAGCCACTAGGGTTTCTGGGACTTGTAGTCTCTCATTCATAGAGGACTGTGAATGAGTGACAAGGCCGTTTGGGCGGAGCCTCACACAGCCACATTTTGTTTAAAAATATGACAGCTAGAGAGGGGGGAGAAGATCTCCTGCTAGCTGTCAAAGTGAGGAGCGGGGGGAGCTGGTCTAATCATAACATGTTACATGTTACACCCTGAATATGGGTGTAACATGTAATGTGGCAGCACCCAGATATGGGGCAGAGTTCCCCTTTAAACTCTAACATTTCTATCAGCCTCTGTCAAGGTTTTCAGCTCACTCTCCCCCTCCCTTATTTCCTGTGAATAATGTGTACCAGTCTGTAGTTAGTACCCTTATCTGCAGCTGCTATTCAAGGTTATATTCTGCAGAGTTTGGAAAGTCTCTTCAATGTATAGAAAGTGAAAGAGGAAAAAATATGCATTGTGACGTAATCATTGGTATATACGCTTGTAAAAAGTAGATACAACTCACTCGGCTTTCCAGGCATGAGCCTAACTGGGTCACTCTGCGCTGTTTTTAATAAATCACTTGTTTTCCTCAAGGTCCGTGTCCGGAGTTTCCTGGTTTTCCAAAATTGCTATTACAGTAACATGTTCTGAAAAAGGAACCTATCCTTTACGCATGTACTCATTTAGATGGATTTATATGTGTTTATGTGTGTACAGATGTAAAATCTGCAGATCTGTGCTGTCCTGGATGCAGAGGTGTCCTATTTTTTTCTGTGCATTGCGGCAGCGTGGTATCCTGCCACGGTCGAAATCAAGCTTATAACCCTGGATTCTCAACCAGGCAGGTTGAGGGGCTCCACAGGGTTTATGTAATGCAGAGGAAACTGGCTTTTCAGTTTCCTCATTTATTCGTAAAGTTTATTTTGGGAACTGAAGCCTGGAGATTTCTAAGTTATCTGGGAGGGATGAAATCTCCAATCTGGGGTCCGTGTTTTCAGAACCCCCAGTACACTGATTGCATAGGCGTGTGCAGGCCTTTTCATAGAGGCCTAACCATGATTCTGGGCTCCACCCTGGCAGACAGGAGGTCATTGCCAAGAGTCAGGTGGGCTTCACCTAGGAGAGGTGGAAGCCAGAGTAACTGTGTGAAAAAAGACATATTTTGGAAGGAGTCCAATGCTGTGTGTTGGGACTAACCAGGGGTCTGGGAGACTCACATAAAGAGAGGTACTGCTAACCAGCAGGGCTGATAAAGAGAGCCAGGAGGCTGAATATTTTTATTTGTTGGATGGTGGATACCCCTGCGTGGGAAGCATTTTGTGGAACTTTCTTTTAAATAAAATTGGGCTAAAAGGCCTTTAAAAAGAATAAAGCGAGTGGCTGTGTGCTGGAAAATCTCTACCATTCCATGCTAGTTCCCACAGCATCTAAATGCAGCGATGGTTTTCGCAGGTTCACGCAGCTGTGTGTACTCATTGATTAATATAGCGCTGTGTTTAGGTGTGTACAAAAGAATCTGCTGTTTTTTTCTGCCCATGTGAATGAGCTCTTAAATGTACAGAAGTAGTTTAACTGCTTCCCGTGTAACCATTGCACATAGACGGTAGATGGGAAGCTTTGCTGATACAGGCTAATGTACCAGTACGTCAACCTGCATTGGCTGCTCACAGATCGAGCACCCAGCGGGAGCCCAGCGATCGTTATATTGCATGCACACAGCAAATCACATTACTGCTGTGTCCGGGTGATCACATGGTGTTTTACTATGTGACTGCTGTCCAATCACAGCGCTCACATTGTAAACATTGGAAAGTGAAAGTAAAGATTGCTTCTCTCTGCCTGTCAGGCTGCTTGTACACTCCAGTGCCAGCCACCCCAGTGCCCAAGTTTAGTGCCCCAGTGTCCCTGATCACTGCACCAGAATATCTATATTAAATAATGCGCCAGCCCCTGTCACCTGTCCCAATGAGCACAAAAAACACCACCATACACCATATCAATGTCCTGATCACTGCCATAGCCCATACCAACACCCTGATCACCGTCATACCCCATACCAGCATCCTGATCACCACCATATCAGCATCCTGATCACCGCCATACCCCATACCAACAACCTGATCACACCATACCCCATACCAACACATCCTGATCATCACCATACCCCATACAAACACCTGATTATCACCATACCCCATACCAGCATCCTGATCACCACCATATCAGCATCCTGATCACTGCACCATACCCCATACCAACACCCTGATCATCACCATACATACATATACCAGCATCCTGATCACCACCATATCAGCATCCTGATCACCGCCATACCCCAATACCAACAACCTGATCACCGCCATACCCCATACCAACACCCTGATTATCACCATACCCCATACCAGCATCCTGATCACCGCCATACCCCATACAACAACCTGATCACCGCCATACCCCATACCAACACCCTGATCTCCGCCATACCCCATACTAACACCCTGATCATCACCATACCCCATACCAGCATCCTGATCACCACCATATCAGCATCCTGATCACCCCATACCCCAAACCAACACCCTGATCTCCGCCATACCCCATACCAGCATCCTGATCACCACCATACCCCATACCAGCATCCTGATCACCACCATACCCCATAGCAACACCCTGATCATCACCATACCCCATACCAGCATCCTGTTCACCACCATATCAGCATCCTGATCACCGCCATACCCCATACCAACAGCCTGATCACCGCCATACCAGCGTCCTGATCACCACCATACCCCATACCAGCATCCTAATCACCCCATACGTCATACCAGTGTTCTGATCACCACCATACCCCATACCAGCATCCTGATCACTGCCATACCTCATACCAACATCCTGACTACCACCATACCTCATGCTAACGCCGTGATCGCCGCCATACCCCAAACCAGCTTCCTGATCACTGCCATACGTCATACCAGTGTCGGCATTTTAGGGTCTCAATTGATCAATTTTCAAATATACATCCCATAATTTGTACTTTTACACAGACTAAATAATATACACTGTTTTGGGTTATTTTTACCCCCAAAAATGTAGCATAATACATTGTGGCCTAAATTTATGAAGAAAAATTATTTAGTTGCAAAATTATTTAACAAAAACTAAGAAAAAAATGATTTTTTTTTTTTCCAAAATATTTGGTATTTTTTAATTTATATAGAAAAAAATAAAAAACACAGTGGTGATCAAATACCACCAAAAGAAAAATGTCACAAATGAGCACAAAAACACCACCATACACCATATCAATGTCCTGATCACTGCCATAGCCCATACCAACACCCTGATCACCGTCATACCCCATACCAGCATCCTGATCACCACCATATTAGCATCCTGATCATCGCCATACCCAATACCAACACCCTGATCACCGCCATACCTCATACCAACACCCTGATTATCACCATACCCCATACCAGCATTCTGATCACCACCATATCAGCATCCTGATCACCGCCATACCCGATACCAACAACCTGATCACCGCCATACCCCATACCAACACCCTGATCATCACCATACCCCATACCAACACCCTGATTATCACCATACCCCATACCAGCATCCTGATCACCACCATATCAGCATCCTGATCACTGCCATACCCCATACCAACACCCTGATCATCACCATACCATATACCAGCATCCTGATCACCACCATAACAGCATCCTGATCACCGCCATACCCAATACCAACACCCTGATCACCGCCATACCTCATACCAACACCCTGAATATCACCATACCCCATACCAGCATCCTGATCACCACCATATCAGCATCCTGATCACCGCCATACCCCATACCAACAACCTGATCACCGCCATACCCCATACTAACACCCTGATCATCACCATACCCCATACCAGCATCCTGATCACCACCATATCAGCATCCTGATCACCGCCATACCCCATACCAACACCCTGATCTCCGCCATACCCCATACCAACACCCTGATCATCACCATACCCCATACCAGCATCCTGATCACCACCAGACCCCATACCAACACCCTGATCATCACCATACCCCATAACAGCATCCTGATCACCACCATATCAGCATCCTGATCACCACCATACCCCATACCAACACCCTGATCATCACCATACCCCATACCAGCATCCTGTTCACCACCATATCAGCATCCTGATCACCCGCCATAAAACCCCATACCAACAGCCTGATCACCGCCATACCAGCGTCCTGATCACCACCATACCCCATACCAGCATCCTAATGACCCCATACGTCATACCAGTGTTCTGATCACCACCATACCCCATACCAGCATCCTGATTACTGCCATACCTCATACCAACATCCTGACTACCACCATACCTCATGCTAACGCCGTGATCGCCGCCATACCCCAAACCAGCTTCCTGATCACTGCCATACGTCATACCAGTGTCGGCATTTTAGGGTCTCAATTGATCAATTTTCAAATATACATCCCATAATTTGTAGCTTTTACACAGACTAAATAATATACACTGTTGTTTGGGTTATTTTTACCCCCAAAAATGTAGCATAATACATTGTGGCCTAAATTTATGAAGAAAAATTATTTAGTTGCAAAATTATTTAACAAAAACTAAGAAAAAAATGATTTTTTTTTTTCCAAAATATTTGGTATTTTTTAATTTATATAGAAAAAAATAAAAAACACAGTGGTGATCAAATACCACCAAAAGAAAAATGTCACTCAAAGTGTGATAGCGCTGAAAGCTGAAAACTGGCCTGGAGTGGAAGGGGGTGAAAGTGTCCAGACTTGAAGTGGTTAAAGTGGTTGTAAGCCCTTACATATATCCAGTGAAGTGACTGGCCTCAGGTGATACACAGACATTAACCTCCCTAGCGGTATTCCCGAGTGTAGCTCGGGGTAAAGTTTCAGTACCACAAGCGGTAACCCCGAGCTACACTCAGGAATACCATGCGGCGCTGCTCCGGGATCTGTTCTTCTCTTACCTTGTCTTGTGCTCCATCCTGCGATGTCCCTCCTGCAGTGTCCCCTGTAATGTCCTCTGGCTGATGCCGGCATCTGTCTTCTTCTGGGTTCCATCCCCTGCGACGCCGGGACGTACGGGAACGGAGCTGGCGGGAAATTTGAAAATGACAAAAAGTTACAGTCACTAAAATCACATAGTAAAACATTACTGTATCAAGGCATTTCACATACATTTTGTCCCGAGTGCTTTGTCCTGTGCCCTGCCTGCATTTTGACTGTTCTTTCTGCCTGGAAACTGAGAAATGTCCATGGCATCCAAAAAGCGTCCCTTTAGGTCAAAAGCGGTTTTAGACCGGCTAGAGAACAGCGATAGTAAATCAGAACCACTTGCAGATTTGAGTGATAATGATTTGTGGGGAAATTCGTCATCAGACTCTGAAAACGATTTTGCGACTTTGCTCAGTGATGTGTGAACTTGGCGCTATATTTCAAATTTCAGTGTTTTTGGTTTGATTATATTATTGAATAAATTAATTATTATATTATTTTTGTGATTATGTATTAAATTATAATTTATGATTTCGTGTTTCAAATTTTAACATACCCGGGATGTTTACTAGACTCTTGTTCGGACAGATTTCAGTGAGTTATTCCTAAAAATTACAGGCCTACAATAAAAAAATCGACATATTTCCATGCAAAAAAATTACTGCTTTTAGCACAGAAATACTGACATAATCAGACCGTTAGGGAGGCAAACTGAAGCCAAACTCCAGCTCACACTTTATAATCAGTTACTGAAAACAGTTTTCTTCCTTTCGGGATACCTGTTTTACATAAATAAATAAAAGCTGATTGTTGTAAGTACCCCTGTCAGTGGTAAATGGTTTGTCTCATGCCTGTAACTGATATAATCTGCAAGAGAGCTTGTTCTTTTGAACAACAACAGACTTACTGGCCAGATCACCCGGACAGGAAAGAAAGAAAGAAAGAAAGAAAGAAAGAAAGAAAGAAAAAAAGAAAGAAAGAAAAAAAAAAAAGAAAGAAAGAAAGAAAAAAAAAAGAAAACTACTGGAGACATCACATCTAAGAATTGGTAAGCTGCGATATAATAAATGTTTGCTTGGGGGTTTAATACAGCTGTAAGTTATTATGAAATAATCCTACGCATACTGACGCTGCTACATTTGATCAATGACTTCTGACTTTAAAAGGGGTTAACCTCTCTAACACCTAAAGTGAACCTGTTCCTTACCCATGTAGAGTTTTGAGCTGCTTTTTGCTCAAGTATCATTTTTTATTGTTTTATATTAAACTAAGATGGAATTCCCCTTTAACGGGGAATCCCCCAGCAAATGCGTGAGCCTATTGTCTGCTAATCCCCCCTCCTTAAACCTGGGTAATGTAATCTTCTCCGTTCCTCCCTTGTTGCCTCTTTTGGACCTTTGACACAAATTGCTGTGCACAGAAAATCACTTAAGCCCTTTAGTTATGAAATTTTCTTTTGGCCGCCGCAGATGAGTATCATTAGCACAGGAAAATTTCAATCAGCGGACTGATAGAAAACAGAAGCCGAGTCGACTTGATTGTAACACAGATCCTTTGACAAAGAGTATTTTGTGCTTACGCTATAGAAACCGGAGACCTCATTTGGTCCTGAAACGTTGCTGAAGTCATTGTTTAATTGTCTTCATTGTGTCGGTAATTGTGCGTTAAGATCGGGTTGCGTTGTAGACTCCGGACAGCAGCGATATTCTGTTCAAACGCTTAGGTCAATCTGATCGCTCTGTCAGATTTGTTGTAACAGATATAGAGGTCTATTGCCAGCTTACACCATATACAATACAGAAGTGTTTAAAGCAGAACTCCAGACATTTAACCCCCCTCCCCCCACTGATATTTTTTTATTAACCACTGGACTTCCGGAAGGTTTTACCCTCTTCCTGACCAGGGCATTTTTTGCAATTCAATTAGTTTAGCTAGCAATTGCCTCAGTCATGCAATGCTGTACACAAATGAAATTTATATGATTTTTTTTCATACAAATAGAGCTTTCTTTTGGTGGTATTTGATCTCCACTGAATTTTTTATTATTACTATATAAATGGAAAAAGACCAAAAAGTTTGAAAAAAAACCCCCAATATTTTTCACTTTCTGCTATACAACATATCCAATAAACAAATTCTAAAAATGACATTTCTTCATAAATTTTGGCCAAAATGTATTCTGCTACAAGTCTTTGGTAAAAAAAAAATCCGAATAAGTGTATATTGATTGGTTCGTGTGAAAGTTATAGCATCTAAAAACTATGGTATATATACTTGAATTTGTATCTATTTATTTTTATATTAGTAATGGCAGCGATCAGAGAATTATAGTGGGACTGTGATGGTGCGGTGGCCAATCTGACACTAACTGACACTGGATGGGAACTGACTGACACACTATATCACCAGTGACACTAATACAGTGATCGGTGATAATACTATACATTGCCACTGTACTAATGACACTGGCAGGGAAGGGGATAACATCTCAGGGGAATCAAAGGGGCTAAGTGTGTGCCTAACAAGTGTTAATGGGTGTAATGTGTGCTGCTTTTTACTAAAAATCTCTTTGTTCCTTCTCCCTGCTTTGCAGAGGGAAGAAACAAAGAGATTGTTCCCTCTGTACAGAGAGCCCTGTGTTGTTTGTCAACACAGGGCTCTGGGATGTGATTGGACCTACTAACAAAATCACAGAGTATAATCACAGTGGGAGTTGGCACGGGGGGAGCACGTGTGCCGTGTACCCTGAAGGGGCCAGCGACGTACCTGTACATCGCTGGCCTTTTCAGGATACAGGGCACACGTGCTCTCCCCCCGCGCCAACTCCCACTCTGATTAGATGCTGTGATTTTGTTAGCAGGTTCAATTGCAATCCTGTAGGAGCCGCCCATCCGCAGTACAATGCGGGAAGGTGGGCAGTCCTGATGAGTTAAAAAAAACCCTATAGATAACTTTTGGTTGCACTTTCTAGCCAGTTGGGTGACATCATAACAGCTTTCTTCTCTTATGATGACCATACACCCTTCAATTTGTTTATACAATCAATGTGGGATGAAAAAAACATTTGAAGCTGCAAACAATCAACTTGCCGTATTTTCCCTTCTGATCAATTTTGAATTGAATTAGATTACATTTAATTAAACTGAGTTGGTCGGGCAAGGGGGCTAAGGGGCATTTAAATGACATTCTAGGCCAGGGGTGCTCAACCTGTTAAAGAGGGAGGGCCATTTAAGTGATTAGGTAACCAGTCGGGATCATAATTAAATTCAATGGTTTGTTTTTTTGTTTTTTTTTATAGAATAATTAACATTTTCCTCCTGCAGCCGCTGAATGCTGGTGGAAGGGATAGGAGGAGAAGCTGTCTTTCAGCAGTTGCAGGTAGCAAATTGAGAGGATTGGTTTCTGTTCAATAGCCCCTACGGCCCCCTTTCCCCATCCAAATGTAAAAGGATTGTGACAGGGAGGCCACATGGGCCCTTTTGGGCATGGGGCAGGGTTCCCATTGCACCCCCTGTGACACCAGTGTTTGTGGGGGAATGTGGCAAAATAAGTCTCAACTTTTACCACTCCAAAACTGTAATTTAACCAACTCCCTACTGTCCTGAGAACCATATAATGCTGCTTTCACACTGATGTGCTGCGGTTTACCTGCACTGTGGGTGCAGCTCAGTGCACCTGTCCCTTTCCTGCGGGTTATCTGTGCTTCTCTGTAGAATTCTATTATATCTTGCAGGTGTGGTGCATTTTCTGAATGCCCACAGGAAAGCCGCAGGTGTACTGTGCTGTACCCACAGATCAGTGTGCAAGTAGCCTAACCCTTTTATAGGTGTAACGCCCTCCGGTGTATATTTTCTTTTTGTACAGGTAGAGGCTTGCTTGTAGCTTGGGTATGAGTCAACCTGGGAGTTAGTCAGCAAAGTTACTTAAGGTTAAGGCTGGAGGGCTGCAGGTCAGTTCTCTGATACCTCTCCATGCTCTAGAAACTTGGAGAAGAACTTGGAGAAACTTGGAGAAGTTTCTAGAAGCCAGTGGGTGAGGGTGAGGAGGGACTGATCTGTATACTTAAGGGAATCTGGCCAATTTCCAGGCAGGTGGCCTGCATTGGTGGCTAGGTCAGATATGAGAGAGCCTGGTCAGCAGGGAAGCCAAGTGGAAGATGGAGTTAGGAAGTGCTGCTGGTGTGAAGCCTCGGTCCGGACCCCAGAGGAGGGGGTTGGCCTACAGGCTGGAAGCTGGAAAGGGGGACATTCACTATCCAACAGTCTACCGGGAAAGAAAGCCTATCACCGGTTGAAAAAGCCAGCCCAGCGTAAGGCCTGAAAGCAGTCTCAACCTTTAGAGCTACAGGAACAGGACAGTGTGAGTTCTTCTACACCCCCTGGGTCAAAGAAGGGAGAGAGGGATCAAGTGCAATGCACAACTAGTTCTCCCTGGGACTACTTCATTGTAGATCTCAGAATCCCTTGCTCAGGGACACACTCAGCACAGCCTGTGGATGAGGAGATTTTCATCTGGGGTCTGAGGAGGTTTATTTAAGAGGACCAACTGTTCCTAGCAAAGACTGTGTGTCAATTTGTCAGAAGGAAAGAGCCTAGGATCTGTCTGTTTGTGTTTTTTTTTTGCTGGCTTTTTACCTTTTTGTGCCTAAGATGATGTCATCCAAGTGTTTCAGCTCCATTGGGTATCCCATATACCCTACCCAAATTGTTAACCCCTAATTAAACAACAAAAACCAAGCTCATGGACTGTTTACTGACTGTGGATGCAAGTGTGGAAAATGCATGTTGCCTGGCTGTGTAGCGCTTAGGAGGACCCAAAAACTAAGTGGCCCTCAAGAAGGTAGCACTACATAGGTGCTAATATGCCCATTGCAAATATGCAGTGTACATATGTGTTGTTCAACACACTGACCTTCTTTTCATCTTACAGCTGCTGCTGGCATCACTTTTCAGGTTGCTAGAAAGATCCCAGGTGATGTGCACTTGGTTTAGTTGGCACTACAGAGGAAGCATTGGCTTTTGCTGCTCCTCCTCTCTCTGTGGCTGCCTGCTTTCTCCACTGCCGGCCTGATGCACTGTAATGCTCTGGGATGGTGGGTTGGCAAGCCCAGATTGCAATCAATGGGTTGCCAACCTCAGGCATGTGCCTCCTTGGTTTGAGGTTATGGGCCATGAGTTGAGCAGCCTTGCCTTGCCTAGGCTCACAGGAAATATGCAGGATGAAATTATCATTTTTTGCT